ACCAACATGACGCGGCTCCGTCCTATGCCAACATTGGTGTGGTGCATTGTGAGATGGGCAATTACTCTCAGGCGCTTGAGTATCTTCAGAAAGCGCATTCGATTGAAACAGAATCGCTTCCACCAAATCATCCCAATTTGGCTGGCTCCTATGGTAATATTGGTCTGGTGCATCGTGAGATGGGCAATTACTCTCAGGCGCTTGAGTATCATGAGAAAGCGGTTTCCATTCAAACCCAATCACTTCCACCAAATCATCCTCATTTGGCTCTATCCTATGGCAACATTAGTGTGGTGCATCGTGAGATGAGCAATTACTCTCAGGCGCTTGAGTATCATGAGAAAGCGGTTTCCATTCAAACCCAATCACTTCCACCAAATCATTCTAATTTGGCTCTGTCCTATGCCAAGATTGGTGTAGTGCATCGTGAGATCGGCAATTACTCTCAGGCGCTTGAGTATCATGAGAAAGCGCTTTCGATTCAAACAGCATCACTTCTACCAAATCATCCTAGTTTGGCTGCATCCTACACTAACATTGGTGTGGGGCATCGTCAGATGGGCAATTACTCTCAGGCACTTGAGTATCATGAGAAAGCGCTTTCCATTCGAACAGAATCACTTCCACCAAATCATCCTAGTTTGGCTGCATCCTACACTAACATTGGTGTGGGGCATCGTCAGACGGGTAATTTCTCTCAGGCACGCTATTATTACAGAAAGGGGCTTGAAATTTGGGCGGCTATTCTCCCCCTCGTGGATTCAAGAATTGTATGGATTTGGGAAAAATTAGGCTATTTGTATATGAAGCAGGGAAAACATGGACGCGTGCTTGCATTTTGCCCAGCTACTTCGATACCTATGGAAAAATGGCGCTGTCATGGGAGACGTTCGGAATGATCCTGAAAGGTCGAGTGTTGCGGATGAATAATGCTATAGCTGTCGGAATCCCGGTTGCTTTGTATTCATGTTCATGGTATATCTGTTTTTTTTTTTATCTAAATGCGCGCTTGTAAACGTCTGCGAATTTTTTCTCTTAGAGAAAGTAAATATAAGCAGGTATATCGGAGTCAATTCGTTAAATGATTACTTATACGCATAAGTTTGTTGCATCAACGTTGAATCCGACTATTCTTCATGAATTCACTCTTACTGTCATCTAGAAAGTTATAAAGACGGTTGTGAACTTGGATACCAATCATAACCTATAAAGTATTTGTG